AGTTTGAATCGTAGATTGTTCAAAAGAAATAGAATAAGAGATTTTGTAGAACTGAAAGATAAAACTAGTATGATATATTTTATAAAAACATGTGGTAATAATAAGTTGTTGAGGAACTTTGAAGTAATGATGCTTTTTTGTTGTATTACAAGTAATTAGATTAATGTCTGCTAGAAACACATATAAAGATAGAGATTTTTCTTCTACCATTCTTACACTATGCCAACCTTTATATCTGCCATGGTAGTAGTTAATATCATAGAAGTTAGGATCTTTAGAGATTAAAGTAGGCATGGTTTAGAGTTTAAAAAATAAAAACAGAGAAAATAAATAAAATCTTAAATGTAAGAGGGTCTGAAAAATATAGAATGTGACAAATAAGAGATATGACAAATAAGAAGATATGACAAATAAAGAATATGATAAGTAAGGGGGTATGACAAATAAGAAAATATGACAAATAAATAGCACAGGATATGCAGGCTAAGTGGTTACAATGATCGATGTTGAACAGATTTTTGTGTTAGTTAATCAATCCAAAAATAAAGAAAATTAAAATTTTATTAAATTAATTAGTAATATGGCATTTGGTAGTGATCTGCAAGTGCTAAGAAAAGTTTTATAAAGGAGTTTTAAAGGTTATTTGCATAAAATCTTCAAAATTAGTCCAATATTGATGTATAATATATTAAAATGAAGCTCTAAGTAAGCTCTGTTTTTTTTGTTTAAGATAAAAACTAAGGTTAGCTTAATAAATTATTAAAACTTTTTAAAAAAAGTATTTTGCAGTTTAATAAGTATATCTTACTATACAGAGGTCTGAAAGATATAAAACTAGGCCATTGATATATAAAATTTAGTTGTAAACAATTTTATTTAAGAGACCAGAAAAGGTTTATTTAATAAATTATTTAGTTATTGCCAATTTATTATCAAAGAATTTTGGTACAAGTGATTATCGAAAAGAGTTAATGATTTGTATCCCTATTTTTTATATTTACAAGTATTTATTTATAAATTATTCTGATAAAAATTTTTTTAAATTTTAAAAAAAATTTATCTTATATATAAAATAATATAAAAAACATTTTTACTTAATAGACAAAATATAGTTTGCATAATAAAAAAAAAATTATAAATTAAAAACTAAATAATTTAAATATTTTTTATAAATTTGTAAATTGATAAGAAAAAATATTTAATTAAAATATAATAAATTTATTTTTAAACCTTAATATTATAGTATATATAATCCTAAAAGTATAGTTTAAAATAACAGTCATTAGATTTAATATTATTAATAAGCTATTTAATTTATTTTAAAAAATATATATATCAAAAATAATAATATGACCTATAGTTATATATAATATTTTTACAAAATATTAAAATTATTGTTAATTTAATTTTTTATAAAAGCAATTTGTTTTTTTAAATTTTGAAATTTGTTCAGGGTTTGCCAACAAGTATAGTTCTGATTGATTTAAAAAGTTGAGTATACTCATCATCTAGCAACTTGATGATATATGTTGTAATCATATATTTCAACTGTAAAGTTATTTCTCTTAGTTCAATTTAAGGAGTTTGTATATTCTGAGGTCACCTTTTTAAGTATTTTTTATTCATCTTGTTACTTGAGCATTCTGGATAAGGTCTTTAATTTCTAACTGATTATCAGACTTAGAAATTATTTGTTCTAAGTAGTAATAAGCTTTAATTTTCTTGTTAAGATTATATTAAATATATTTAAAAATAGATAAGAATTTTAAGATTTGATTAACTTTATTCTTTTTATATTTTTTTAAAAAAGCGATTGGTTATATTTTGAGTTGTTGGTACTAATGTCTGTTTCAAATTATTTATTATTTATGCTAAATGGTTAGTATTATTACTTTCTAACTTAGTTGTTACTTTATTAGATAAAGCTTCGATTGGAGACAGTTGTATTTCTTCTAATTGCAATAAAATTATTAATCTTAATCTCAAAGAAGCACTAAATAAAATCTCCTTTTAAACAAACAATCTACAAATTCTAATCAGAATCATTGCCTACTATGATATTATTCAAATCTCTAAACCAATTATTACTTAATTTTAAAAAAACTTTAACAAGTTATATTTCAATCAAGCAATCTAATATATTATCAAAAAATTTAATATTGTTATATCTACAATATCAGAAACTAACTTTATTTACATCTTTAATATATTATAAACTTGATGATAGTCTTTTCTTCTAGCTATATTTATATTTTTGTTAACTTTTTTTTATTTATTCACTTATTTAATTTATATTATTTGCTTTAGCTATACTCTTATAACTTTTCTTATCTATATGCTTATTCAATTAATACTACTCTTTATCTTTTTAATTACACTTTATTTCATATTTAATTTGTCTTATTTTTTTTTTATTTTTTTTTTTTAAATATTAACAGTAAGACTATATCTTTAACTTTATTGAAATTTAATTAAAATTTTTATATAAAAAAGTTTGTTTTTAAATTATATATGAAGAATAAAGACTCAGACATATAATCTGTAATCTAAATCTATAAAAGTAGTCAAGATTATTTAAATTTGAATGTTAGTAATAATATAAAAAAAGAGATATAATAGTTAATCTATTATATAATCTAAAGGTCAATTTTAATAATAATTTGTAATATTGAAATAGAAGGTAAAAGTAAACTAGAAGAAGAACTATGAGTTAAGTTAATAAAAGATGTAGTTTGAGATTGTGCAGAATATAAAATACAGTATAGAATCTATATTTGTTTGTATATTTGTTAGTTTAAATAAAGAAAAAGTTTTATAAAAAGATAAGTAGTAATATAGTAAGAAATAAAAGTATTATAAATAGTAGAAATAAGATCAGTAGAAACTAAATCAGATAAAGTAAAAGTAAAAGATAGTATATGTAAAAAGTTGTGCAACTTAAAACTATTAAGTGTAAGAATTTCTTTATACATATCAAAAGCAATTGTATTTAGGATGTAATTAAGTAAATTAGAGACTAGATGATAGATAGTTTGGCTAGAAGGACAAGAAATCCAATATAGTGAAAAACTAGTTTGATTGTATTAATGATAAGAAGAAGAATATAAAGAGTTATGTTTGTAAAGAGTATAGAAAATAAGTAATTCATTTAGAAGGATTTTAATATGAAAACTTTTGAGAATAAAGAAATAAAACCTTTAATTTCTTTTCTTTATAATAATGTAATTAACTTTTAATAATATAAATAATTACTAAAATCTATAAGTAGCTTACTAGTATATATTAGAGTAATAAATATTATTTAGAAAATTTTAACTAATCTAGATAAGTCTTAACTATTTTAGTAGGTTTAAGCTACAGATAAATATGTTGGAACTCTTAATATTGCATATAGCATTTATATTATTTAGAGTTATAGTTTTATAGTTAGCAGTTTAGAAGTATAGTGACTTAGTAAAGTGGTTAAGTTGTCAACCCTCTAAGTGTTAGATTAGAAGTTCAAAATCCACTAACAACAAAAATTTTAAAAACCATTTATATTATATCAGTATTATGGGAGGTAAGCAGTATTACAGCAATAGCATTCTGTTGATTAGTTGAGATCAGTATCTGTAACACAGTTACACCAGATGACTGGCAAGTTATAGCCTATCTGTGCAATGTTAAAGTTACATAGAGAAATGCAAACTGGCATCAAATAGTGCAAACCCAAGATAAGTCATTATGGCTATATAAATCTGTAAACTGAAAAACCAGAGCCTACTTGGAAAAACCTGAGTAGAGAGATAGCACAGTTCTTTGACAGTACTACTATAAAGGCTAGATCTAGAAAACAGATACCAATATGAAAGAAATCAGTAAGAAAGAACCTTAAATAAAGAGTACTATTAATCAGGCCACCAGAAGTCTCAAACAGAAGAAAAAAAACCTTGAAAGACAGACCCTGAGATATTAGAAACAGGTCATAGTCTTATCAGGCTATCTGGATTAGGAGTCTGAGGTTAAAAACAGAGGTATATAGTTAACTCTGAATATAACAGACCTCTATATAACAAACTCTAGATATAGTGAGCTTAAAATTTTAAAATTTTTATAATAGTTTGGTATAGAAAATGCAATTTCTCTTAAGAAAATATAATAACTTTCTATAATTAACTTTTTTTTCTTTTAGAACCATCAGTTTGTTATAGAAAGAGTTAACTGTACTATAAGTAGTGTTGTCTGCTACAAGGCTGCAACTTTGCACCTTCTTTGGATTAGTTGCAACTTTTGCAAATACTTTTTTTGCTGCAAAAAGATACAAGATTGCAAAAACACAAGATCGCAAAAGATTGCAAGAATGCAAGATTGCAATTATATAATCACAGAGTTACATATTATGTATCAATTTTAACAAAATGTATAAAACACTATTATTTTTAATTAATATAAGATAATATATTTATAGCAATGCATTTACAAATTGTTATCGATTAAAAGGCTAGAATTGGTCTTTATAAAATATAATTTAATAGTTGATAAAAACTTATTTTATCTTCAGATAATAGAATGTTTGCTGATAATGACTGCTCATAGTTTTTTCTTGTTACAAATTGTCCATGTTACCTTAAAATTTTATTAGGTATTTTTATTTTACAAGTCAAATTAAATCAATTATATGTATTTGACTTAGTATAATATTGAAACAATTATTCAATAAGATTTAAGCAAAATATGAATTTACAATCTTTGAATTATACAATTTATATAGTTATAAATTCTATTTATATTTTATATATTATAATATAAATTATGCAACAATATGTATTATAGTAAAAATTTGAGCATTCAAATATTGATTCAATTGTATTTAAAAGTTTTAGCCACCTTCTCAATATATTAGTTCATATTATAGAAATTGTTTTTCATGATAAATACAGAAAAGTCTTTATGCGATATTATTTCTAGAAACATAGATTAGTATAACTTAAAAATAAAAAATATATATATCTTTAATTATTTCAAACCTTATCAAACTTCATATCCTGAATGATAGTTTTTGGATCATAATCTTTATGAATTTCTATTACATTAGATTCAAAATTCTCATTCTTAATCAAATCATCATTATTATTATTATACGATTTAAAAATTAGTGAATTAAAATTAATAAATATTTTGATTTCTAATTCTAAATCATTTATTACAGTATTAGTTGAATCTAAAACAAAGAATTAATCAATGTTATCTTAAGAATCATCATCTTCAAAGTCATAAAGCATAGAATTAACTAATGTATATAAATTATTAGAATTTAATTCATTGTTTTTAATTTGTCCAGTTTTTATTTCAATTTATGACATGTTAAATCAATAAACTTTAGCGATATTTTCTAAAGTTTGAAGATTCATTTACTGATGTCATGTTCTATAAAGCAAATTTAAAGTTGAAAATATATGTTCACATGCTGCACTACTAGGTGTAATTGAAAAAAGTCATATAGCAAGATATTGTAATTCATTTGGATTTATTTCACATGTTGTCTACTAAATTAATAGAGTATCTTCATTAAATGAATAAGGCATTGCATATGCATTTGGTATTCTATTAGAATGTTCTTGTATCTTGTATTGCCATAATTGTGTAATCAATGATTCAAAGCTTTTTTTAGATTTTCTTAAAGACTTCTATAATGTACCAGCATAATATGTAATTATGGGAAACATTTCAAATTTAAATCCTTTTCCTTTATAAGCTGGATATAAAAAAAATGCTAGAAGGTAATTAGAACCATTAAATTCTTCATATCATCAATTAAATACTTGAACATAATAATTTCTAAATTCATAATATTCTTTTTGTGATAATTTATTAATTGTGATACCAATTTTAAGAAGTGTAATATAGCAATCAACAAGATTAGATTGGCTTCCTTCTATTTCAAGAATTGCAAACTTGATTGGTGCAAGTATTTCTATTAAATACTACATATTATCAAAAAATCTACGGCTTTTCAAAATAGTAATAATCTTATTATTTGTAATTTGATATGTGAATTTATCTCTAATTTCCTCTAAACATTTTTTAAAATATATAATCAAAGATGTACATTCATAAACTGTAATTCATCTAGTTTCAACATAATACTTAAGTCCACTACCAATAATTGCATGTTTTTCTATTTGAGTTCTTAATAGATTACTTGCAACATAAGACTTATTAAAATGTTTAACAATTAAATTGATTTTTTTAACTAATCCAAATACAAATTCATCTTTAAGAATATTCTTGGCAATAAGATTTATAGTATGTACTATACATCTAAGATTTAAAATATATTTATATTGAGTAGTAACTAATTTTCGTGCAAGTTTTATATTCGACCCATTATCACTAATAATCGCAACAATCTTTTCTGACCCAATTTCCTTAATAATTTGTCGAATTTGTTGTGTCAAGAATTCTTCTGTATGTGAATGACTTGAATAATCAGCAATTTAATAAATAAATTCTTTGTGATTAGGTGTAAGAAGTACAAAGTACTATAATGATGTCTTATTTTGGCTTGTCCATCTATCAATACAAATTGTTAAATTTGAAATTGATCTAATTGTTTGTTCAACTTTTATATTAACTTGTAATACTTGAATATCTAATAAGTGGCCTAATATAAAAATTATTAATTATAAAATAATTGCTAGTTTTAAAATTTTATATGTATAGCAATACCTGATAATACTTTGTGTGATGATGGGCTATATTCTGAACAGAGAACTTTAAGTAAATTGATAATAAATAGATTTTCAATTATGTTAAAAGATAAACCACAAGACACAAATGCAGCAATTAATGCTTCATCAATTTTTGTTTTATGAATTTCTGAAAGTTTTATATGTTTAGACTTTTTTTGATGATCCATAGATTTAAATGACTTGATTTCTAAATGAGTTGGAATTGTATAATCTTCAACTTTTGGATCATCAAAAAGATTATATGCAATTATATAGTTGTAATATCATTTAATATTTTCAGGATAATTTGGACATTCATGAGTGATATGAGCTCTAGTTTTAGTAGGTTTAACACATTTAAATTCTTCATTGCAGTGAATACATTTTCTTTTGTAAACTCCACAAGATACTTCTTTGCCTAACTCAATTTCTTTCCAAATACCAGTAAATTGACATCCAGCAGGTTCATAATTACTTTCACTATCAGAGCTACTACTATTATCAATCTGATGTTTTTTTTCTTTTTAAATTTTTAACCATTATTGTTATTTTAATTTGAAAAAATAAATAGCGAAACTAATATTTATATATATTATTAATTTACATACATATGTATAATTTGAAGTTAACTATTATCTTATAAAATATATATAGCATATTATAATTATGACATATTATAAGATTATGACACTATGATATTGCATCATTATCATATATTGCAATATTGCGATTTGCATTATTGTGATAATTTGCAACACTTCATTTTTTAAATATGAATTGCAACAATTAAGATGCAACCTAATTACGCTATATTTAAAGTCACAATTAAGATTTGCAGCAGGCAACACTAATTGTTGCGAAATAATGGCACGGGTGTTACTTAGAATAATGACCCAAACCAAGCTTAATTTAGACCAAAATTCGTAATTTCACCCTGTGCGTTATTTCGCGACACAGAATTAAGCTTATTTCGAAATTAGTGCGAGTTTAAAAGTTTCTACTTCTATTTTTAAAATCCGACTCGGGGAATTAAATAGGCATGCACGTTAATAAAATTAGCTTTTTTTTTTTATAAATATCTACCGGTAAACGATTATGTAAATAAAAAAAATAATATTTATGGATCACATGTTTTGACGCAAATATGTCTCTTATTTTATCTGAAATCGGTCCAATATAGTGAAGGTGTCGTGGAAACAATGAAATACCATGAAATACAATTATGGGTATTCTGTCTCTGTTCCTTCGAAACACAATGCAAATTTTGATGGCATTTCTAAAAATGACAATAAATTCTTTTCAATGGTAAGTTAAGCTCTGGACTGTCATCCCGACAGAACTTTCTGGAAATCTTTTTCCATTTGTAACACTCAATCCTTAAAAGATACCTACCCAAATGTAATATTTACCAACAATAAGTTTTGTAACTGTTATCTCAACAGGCCACCTACTAGAAAATTAATAGTTCGACGGGATGTATTATGAACAACCATGTGATAACCCGTGACTGTCGTCTCGATGGGCCACCCTTAACTGTCATCAGGACCACACTTACTGATATTTCTTGAGCAACGACTACTATCCCATTAAGCTCTTTCCATCAAAAATATCTACCCGGACGTAATGCGTATAGACATGACAGTTTTACGATTGTCTCCCGACAGGCCATTCAACAACTCTAACAGGCCACTCGTTGCTAAAAATCATAAGATTTCAATCCAATTTTCACTGAAGATCACTCGTTAAGTTCCATATGAGGGTGGAAAAAGGGTGGAACGAAAAAAAAACAGACAAAGGTCGTGTTAGCAGAAAAAAACAGAAATTATCTGGGAAAAAACCCAACTCAAAAACTACGTAATTACGTCGTTACTCTAATCAACTCTAACGAAGCTATTATGTCGTTATTATAATAAACTCAAACGATCACCAGATCGAAAATACTATACTCTTAAATCAGGCAATAAATCATAAACAATATTTGATCAATTAATTACACTCCGTGTTCGATTCGAGAAAAAAATCTGCGCTGATATTATCGTATCGGGCAGCTAATATACGATCATTGTTCTAAGTAAAGTCGAACGAAGTGGTATGATCAAGATCAGGATCGGGATCAGTGTTGGAAATCTGATGTTCTCATGTTCTCATGAGAACATACCTTTGGATTTGAGAAAATCCGTTACTTTAAATATGTTCTTTATAAAAAAAATTTCGAGAACATATTGCTTGATAAATATGTTCTCTATATGAGTATGATACTGAGTGAAGTTAACAATTGAAATTGAGTAAAGCACCGAACCTTCAGGAAATAAAATGAACGGACTTAAAGACGAGCAATTCTGGGACAAAAATTCAAATAAATTACCGATATCTTATTTTCTGAAAATTTAAAAGATGGAAACAAAATTTTTTTGTTATTGAGAACATAAAATTATTTTTGAGAACATTAACAGTTAAATTAAATAATTTTCTTCTCATGATAAAATAAGTTTAGACCAGTTTTCCAACACTGGATTAAATGACATGATCAAGTTCTAGATCATTTCAGTATCTAAAGAACTATAATAAATTTGTAAACTATCATTTTCTTTCATATGCACTTTTTCGCAACAATTCTTGATTCAAATACTTAAAACTCGTAAATGAGTATGAAATAAAAGAAACTCCTAGTGACTCGTAAAACTGATATAACAGCTAATCAGATTTTAGATAGTCACCCGTTTCATTAGCATTTAGGTAAAATGTTATTTAATGGTAGAGTACATATAAATTATTTTATACGTAATTTAATTTAATTACAAAAAAAAATTTGTATAAGAATTACAAAAAATATATTACTAATAAAATATTTTTATTTTTTAATTGATAAAAAAATTTTATAAAATTATAAATAAATTACTTATCTATTATAATAAAATTTTTGAACTATTATATCATTTTAAAAAAATATACTTATATATATAATAAAGTTTGTAAGTAGTACAAATCAGAGAATTTAATTTGCTAATTTGTATAAATCTATAGGTTAATTTTATTATATATTTTTATATTCTAATTTTTTAAAAAATTATATCTCAATAAATTTTTAATCAATTTTAATAATTTTTACTATCATTAGAATCAGAAAAACCTGCTCTACAAACTTAATAGTTAAAAATAGTTTCTTTGACTTTTTTTCAAAAAATTAAATATAAAAAAATTGCAATTAATTTATATATAATTTAAAAATATTCTATTCTACCCATAAAGAAGTTACCTCAACTTGAAAAATCTTCCCAAATCAAAAAAACCTTTATCTTTAGAAAACCTTTATCTTTAGAAAAACTTTTTTCATGAATACATTAATTCGGATAAGTCCAAATCATGTCTCTGAAAAGGTTCTAGAAATTAAGGATGATTGCTGCCATGTGGGTAGCAAAGTCATTATATTGTTATCCGGGGAAGTCACGTGGCACGTAACTACGGCTACTTCAAATTAGGGTAACCCAGCCCACTTAGGCTATTTCGGCTACGTAGGCTACTATGGCTACGTAGGGCACGAAGGCCATGTCAGATAAGTATAAGTTGGGAACAAAGTAGTAGACATAGTAGACTTAGTAGTTGTAGCAGACGTAGTATAACAAATGTAAATAAAGAATTTTAAGATAAAT